CTTCTCGTGTTCCTTCTTCCTGATGTTGCTGTCATTTGGTATCGCTGCAATCAGATGTTTTCCTCAACACCAGATGGAGAGCAAAACAAAGCAAAGAGTGAGGAAATATTTCCAAGTCCGACTCTAGATGCAGGTAAACGAATGCTTGGTGTTTACTGGATAAGTGCCAGGGCTTCTGTTGGCTAACACGTGCTTGAATGTGTTAGAAACAGAATGCTTGTTGAACATACTCATGCTCTCAGTGATTGGTTAACTAAACTAACAGAGTTCACAGCTAATGAATGGCGACCCTGTGCAATTCATGATGAAGCACAGCTTGTGAGCATAAATGGTGTCCGTGGCAGTTCAGACAGCAACGGCACGACTACCAGTCTTAGTGCTGAAGCCAAGTCCATATGAACATTTGAACAAAGAAATCCTGGCAGAAATCCCTCCTTTTAATGCAAATTCTGCCCAGAAGCAAAGTCAGAATATCAGCTGGACTGGCAACTGAGTTGGAACAATCACACTGAGATGAAGCATCCAACTGGTCTTTGGAAATTTTTGCCAGTGAACAACGGTGGCAAGAAATCATCACCAAAGAATAAGATGGTGAATAAAGTGCCACAAAATTTCCTAAAGAGCTGAATTACATTTATAAACTTGCATGTTTTAAGGCGTCCTGCTGGTTTACATGCTAACAGTATTATACCGTAATTCTTTTGGTGAGGTAAGTGGAAAACGGTAGAGATCTGTGTGAATGGAAGGAGGAGGTTCTACTGGAAAAGAAGAGCTCACAGCATCTCCAAAAATGTTAGGAACGTGACTAAAAACTGAAACAGCAGCACTCACCTCTCTGTTTGCATAAGGCTTATCCATGAAACATTCGATGTGCCTTACTGTTCAAGTTCCTAAGCAAAAAGGATGAGCACGCTGAATCGACAACCAAGAGACACAGACTTAAAACAAGGGGAAGCAGGTAGTTTGGCTCTGCCCAAAGTTCAACACAATCCCCCAAGGCTCCCTAACTGACATGTTATATCTTGTTTGTTGCATCAGTACACAAAGTCTCTGCTGCTGGTTGCCAGGCTACCAGACTATCAGACTCCTGGAAGTTCCCAACATGTAACTCGACCCTGAAAAACACAATTTATTTTCACGTGTTAAATAAATGAGATAAAGTGTAATAGAGTGAGGACATTTACAGCTTAATCGCTTATAACTATATTGGGATGACAGTGCATTCACCCTCCTATCAAACTGTCTGCAACAATAGGGAGTAGAATATTTCCCAAGTGTCACAGAAATCACTAATAGCAGCTGGACGATTACATCCATGAAATACTATATAAGTAACCTGTGATGTCACATTGTGGAAGTTACGTTTTTCAGATGTAAAGACACTAAACACCCCCCCACACCCACTCAAAAAAGTAGATCTTTTGTTTCAGTCGTTTCCACTGCACAAACATGTCCAAATGTAACTGTGAAAGAGGTGACACACGGTGGCAATAAAAGCAAAAGACGCAAATTGTCATGACTACACAGCCTCCCCACCCCTCTTTTCAATATCAGTCCAATAGCTTTAGATCCCCAGGTCCCTGACAAGGTTTATTAGAGTGCGGTGCTGCTGGCTAACTGCTGAGAGGCTGAATGAGGAAGGGAAAAGTGTTAATTTACAGCTGTTGCAGTGACAGCATAATCACTGAGGCTGGGGGGGCACGGATTGCTTCTTTACCAGCTGGATGGGGTGATGATGGTTGGTTGGTTAGTTAGCGTGTGTAAAGTTAATAATACAGCTTGGCAGTGTAATTGATTTGTTGTTCGTTAATTAGTTGTTTATCATTCAGAAAGATGTCGTCTGAAGCAGAGCCAATCCGCTGTGAGCGCTGCTGCTTCGGCTAATAGGTCATTACCAGTACAGTGTTTTCAGGCAATCTCATTTAACATGCATGGATGTTCTATTTCAAACAAAGCTTGTTTTTCTGCTTTCTGTTCAGTTATGACTTGCTTTGCAATATGAAAGCAGGGCACATACCATTCAAACCATTAGCGTATTTGTGTTTGACATCAAACGCACATCTTTGTGGACTCTGAGCACTTTCACCTCATCCAGTCTGTAGGAGATGACCACAAGGCTATTATGCTGACCTGCTGATTCCTGGCAGTCTGGGAAAGTATATCAAGTCTTTTTTATCACTGTGCTTTGAAAAGAGAGCAGAAAGGAGTGGGCTGGGTTATTTAAAAAAATGGCCCTTGTGGAGCATTAGCGGATTTTATCCAGAAATCCCATTTGAGCAAGTAGTTGGTGACAATAGAGAGAAAGGGCTCCCCGTTAACTGGGGGGGAAACAAACTTGAGCAGAACCAGACCCAGGACAGGCCAAGGGGAGGGGGTAAGGGTGGAGAAAGACCAGAGTGAGTATAAAAAGATAGGAAACATCACACAGCCTGACAACAAACACCACAGGAAAGTAACGTGCAGAGTCTGGACCCTAAGAAGAAAAAACCCAGCATGTAGTGTTCACATAGAAATGCAAAGAGACTGAAGAATGGAGGACAGGTTCCCTTTGGATTACAGGAGCTCCAACTGTGTTCACTGAGGCTGTTATTTCTTTTTCTCATGTGTTGTAATGCTTTGTATCTGGTTTTATTTAACATAATCAAACCCTTAAAAATATCAGTGGTCATTTTCGGCTTCCTTCATGTGCATCGCCTCTTTAAGGTCAGTTTTTAAAACCTTGTGATGTCCCTCCAGCCTATGTGCTCACATTTTTCCAGACAACGAAATTTTGGAAAGCTTTAGAAAAAGAATCACTCTGATGTAAACTAAGATTTCCAAGGACACATGAAGATGAGGGTCAGGAATTTTTCATAGCAAGTCATCCAAACTTACCTCATGCTGTGGATGAATCATCTCACGTGTTCTCTTGACTTAAGCCTACAAGGTTTTCAGCATCATTTCACTGCCATGTGATTGCACTTCTTTCTGTCACACTGACTTAAAGTTATGCTAACGTGTTTACAATATTCTAACCATTTGCTCTTTAGCTAGACATCACTATATGTCAGTTAGCCCAACTTTAATAACCTCCAAACATCGCTGCTGTTTAGTTTTTTATTTGATTCATGTCTGTGTTTTGGCTTTTTATAAATCCAACATGGTTTAACATCATTAGGTGGGAACTAGCACAAGCTAACCTCCTGCTACCTTCAAATTCTGTTAAACTTCATAAATCCTCTTTTTCATGGATGCCTGGGTATAAAACTTTATTGTAACACCTGGGAAAGCAGCAGCACTGACCATTTTATTAAAGATGAAAGAATTTGGCTATTTTTCAACTTTCAGTAAGGGATGGTTTATTATCACCTGACGCTGTCGCCGTGGCTACGTGCTTGAATGTGGGAAATACACTATAAAGATCGCGCATCAGCTTGTGCAGCCTGAAATCATGACCCTACCAGAAAGGTTATGAATGTACATGCAAAAAGTGGTTCATGTAGTTTGGCCCCAGTCACACATGCTCAGAAGCCAGTTAGCGGAAACCAGTCATCGGGTATGTCAATCTGGCTGCAACCAAACTTATCCCAAAAAGGTTTTTTGGTGAAGCTCTTTGCGAATGAATTCAGCAATCAGTTGTCAGCTGATCAAGTTGACAAGTGGTGGTTGGCAGGGGGTTGCTGATCAGTCTCTAAGACTAGAAAAGCTCTATTATATACCAGTGATTTCGATGCAGTCTGCTATGCAATGATTTACCCAATGAGCCATTATTATTGGTACAAACGTTTGTGTCCACATCTGTCATCATTTAAAGGATATACCTTTTGGTGTGTTGCATGTAGAAATCACATCACCATTTGCCCTCTGGGGTGACGTTATCACATCCACCCACTGTGTATCCCACCATGTAGTTGTTGCTTAAACTGGTGGATCAATCAAACACGAAGTATAAGTAAACAAATTATATTAATTTGTGTAATAATAAAAATTGCACTGATAAATGTGATGCATATGTCACTAACATATGCATGACATATGCATATCAGATCCATAGACGCACACACATACAAGAATGCAATGTGCACACACACTGGTGGGCTGCTCTAATAAAGTGTCTGATTTCCACGCTGCTTAGTGGAAAAAGAACCATCTGCTACCTCTAAATCATCAGAAAACGAAGAGCATCTGTTTTTTAACACTTCCTCTGAAAAACAGCAACTTTTCAACACCTCCTACTGTGCATGAGCTTCAGCTTGAAACCATGGTGATGGTATTTATTATTAGGATGCTGGGTGAAGTGTTAGACTACAGTGGCATAAATGCTGCTAATCTAGTACTTTCTATTTCTTTTGATACTTAGTTTTCCTCTCTTAATCTGAACACAACTATTCATTCATCTTCACTTAAACACAGTTCTACCTGCAACACGGATGTGAAAGGTTGAACAAAGGCTAAGCAAGGCCTGACTTCCTACTTTCTACTGTTCTATTTGGGAGGCAACTTGTCTTCTAGTTTGCTTAACTAAACACACATGTGCATGAAAGTGGTTTAAAAGGTGCATCGCTGCCATATCGATAAGAACCTGTGTTGGAGTCACAGGGCAGGATGGTACAGCACGGGTAGGAAAAGCTGCAATGATACATCAAAGGGCCCGTTACTGGAAATAGCCATGACAACCAGTGTGCCTCACCATGACATCCCCACAGAGGGCAAAAACACCGTGCGTGGCCTTTCGGATTTTTCTCCTGCTACGTCTGATTCACTGGAACAGAGGAAAGATAAGAAAGAAGAAGAAAGTATTTGATATGTGTCCCTTTGAATTTGCAAGATCATTTGATCAAATGGACGGCAGGTAATAAATACGCAGCCCTGCTGAAACATGATCCGCTTTATCTGTGCAAAAATGTGCATCAGTAAAGATACTTCAGTCTAGCAGTTTCTGTCAGTCTTCAGGTAACAAACACAGTTCTCACAGCCAGTACTAGTATTTTCAAATCGCACTGATAGAGCTGAATGCACATAACAGCAGAATAAAGAGAATCTTTCGTGAAACGGCAAAAAAATAGTGTCTGCAGAAAAAGGACTGCTGCACAAATGTGCAAATCAGAAATGCTGTGGCTGCGTTAATCACCGAGAGGACAGCAGAATAATGTTCAAGGTCAAGGCAGATGTTAGAAATCGATTGGCTTCACTCTTTTTATGAAGTTGAGTGAGCGATAACTACTAACTGAGCTTTTTAAGAAACTGGAAAACTTCAAGCTAACAAGGACATCTCACACTTGAGGGTTGGCTATTGGTAAAATTCAGGTTCCGACTACAAAGTCAGTCCGAAGTAGTGAAGTCATTATGACACGGATCAAGGAATGCCAGATTTCTATTGTATTTTTTCAGTTGCTCTGAATACGATTGCCTGTCAGCATTCACGCAGGCCTCCGAACATCGCTGAGCCATTAATTTATACAGTGTAATTGCCTCATTATGTGCTTATCGCCACATAATGACTCGTGCACGTTGCCCCAAATGTTAAAAAATGAGCCCGCCACGTGTTGAGCAAACATCTCCGATGTGTTTGGATCTTTGCTGACCAGCAGCTACAGTAAAATCCCAGAGGGGCAAAAACGAATCAACCTAGCAGCAGTGCAACACTGATCTGTGGCTGCTGCTTTTTTGCCATCTTGGCAAATTGGGATCCTGCTGTAGAAAAACCACAGAGGCACGTTTTGAGCATCTTGACAGGTGGTTAAATAACTGTTTCCTCATATGAACTCTTAATCTGTCGTAGTGAATAGCAGCAGATACTCTGCTTTACAGGCGCTCTCACTACAGGAAAACTGTGATTGGTGTAGGCGAGGCTGCTGCCAGCGTAGAGCTCGCAGGAGGCAGGGTTACCCTTAAAGGTAGGTTTTTACATCCTTTACTGACCTATGATGCAGGGCGGGTTCAAGGTTTATTTTAAGTGTGGTGGCACGTTCCCATCTGCCTTATCTGTAACTATCCAACAAAGGCAAAAAGGTCAGTAAATGTTCCCGTTCACAGTTGATACCTGGTGTTGTGTCTGCTGCAGCAGTCCATCTGCTTCAGGTTTGATGTGTTGTGCATTCACAGAAGCACTTCTGCATACGTTGGTTGTAACGGGTGGT